TAATGATAAAATGTATACATAATTTGAAAGAATTCGTTCTTAATTTAGGAATTAAATACGAGATAAAATTTGCTTAAAAAACATAGTGTTAAGAAAATTATATTTAAAAAAGTAATATTGATCGATCTTGAAATCATGAATTTGAAAGGGTTTGCTTTTAATTAAACACGAGAAAATTAATCACTCTGTACTCGATTCACGTTTTCAAAAGGGTTAAGATTGCAATACATACGCCCGTTAGTCTCTCGTGTCATGCCGCGACGGGGCGTTCGTTTTATCATTCGAGCGAGGCGTCGACGGGCATCGACACTTTTATCATTCCGCGTAATATTCTACTGAATGCGTCGTAGGGCCATCGTATCGTGACGTTCGTTACATTCGCCCAGCTAACGAAATCCAATCGCGAGCGATAATCGAATTTCAACGATCGAGCTTGTTCGCGGGGAACGAGTTCGTCCCAATTGCCATTCGATGATGTGTGTATCCTTTTTTCGTCGATTCTCCTTTATATTCCTGGCAACCGAGAATCGAGAATCCGTCTCGTTTGCCGCATTGAAAGAAAAAACGTAAAATGTAAATGTAAAAATTGTAATTATTTAACTATATTTTATAGTTACTTTTGGTGTCAACTATATATTTTTTTTAAATAAAATTACAAATGTAATTATAATGTGTGATAAAATGACTTTTTCAAACACTGGAACAAGATTAGTTATTTTTTAAATAATTTTTTGGATGCTGAATATGAATGCGTTTATTAAATTACTGACATTACGGTATAACTTTGAAAAATTTGCAGTTCAATTTGCGAAAAGGAGGACAAATTTTATCATATTATAATGACGATGTATGACGTACTGAAAAAGTTTTATTGCAATCAAAATTAAGTATATTACGACTTTCAGCTTTCAAAAGGATTTTTTAGTGTCAGCTACAATTAATAAAATATTCATAGTTAAATAAAAGATAATAAAAATAAAAAGAAATTAAATAATAAATCAGAAAAATTGTGAATTAAGTCATCGATGATTCAACAAATAACTTTCGATTATATTTATTTAAACTTAAAAGATCGTTTTAGATCGTTGAATATTTATAAATCCAATTTCAAAATTAACAAATTCAAAATGATAAATTTAATATGGCGGATGTTAAACTTGAAAAATGTCCAGATCATTATAAAATGTAGAAGTGTCTTTCATGAATTTTTGAATTTATCAATTTAACATCGGATTTGTATACAGCGACCTAAAAAATCTTTATGTTTAATTAAAAATAATTAAAAGTATTTGATAAATCGTCCTATGTCACTTTTACACAATAAATCTCATATTTAACCATAAATCTTCTTAAACATAGTTGATAAAAAAATAATTTTGAAAATTTTTAACAACAAGCTTAATTTTAATGAAATTTCTCCAGCATGTTGTAGTTACAATATAATAAAATACGTAAAAATAATTCTCTTTTACAACTTTAAATTTCTCCAAATTGTGATATGACAATTTGGAAGCTGAGTTCGTATTATATTTAACGTCAAAAAAACGAGAAATAACTCATTCTAGTATTTTTTTTTCTGTCAAACAGTGTTATTATTACTAATATTATACAGCAGCCTTGGCTGTAAGTACCTATTCTTAATTAGTTGCACTTTCTTGCAAAAAAAAAGGTAAAATAAAATTGAAAGGAAAACTAACAAGGTATTAAAATTATTGTAAAAATAAATTTTTTTTCAATAAAACTTTCAATTTTTCATTAGATATAAAATTTATGTGAATTTGTGGAAGTGCTTTACTTTTTTGCCAAGGTTGTAACAGTAATAATGAGAAAAATGGGTTAACCCAATTCTTAACCATAACAACCATAATTATTTCATCGTGTAATTAGAACCACAAATACCAAACCCTTTTCTCTCAATGCAAAGGAATAACATTCTTAGGAGGATGTTTCCCGCACGTTTTGACGTCGCACTCGTGGGAGAGCATTCTGAAAAAACTGACTCTGAATTCTTCAGCAGGTAGAGAAGGTATTCTGGAATCTTTTTTCTCCGAAGAGAGCAAAAATATGTCAGGAATATTTTGAGAGAGGGAGAAAGAGAGAGAGAGAGAGGGGGGGGGGAGAGAGATTTCTGGATACATTATATTCTAAAGATAGAAGCATATTTCTGAAATGATTGTGTACTCCTTAATGCATAATAACGTGTTTTTCCCTCCTCGTGTGGATTATTCCAAACAACGCGTCCCAAGAATACTTCTTTCCTGAGAATAAAAATCGGGAGTAAAAATATTTTCTCTCTCATCTCGTTTCCAGCAATCCTCCGTTGGTTCTGTAGTGTTAAGTCAGGAATCTCGCGTTTCCTTTTCAGGAAATATCATTCTCGCGCGATCGTAATGATTAATTCGCGAAATGAAGATTATTGACCATTAATGAAATTGAACGTGATACATAACGATGATATAACAAATTGGTAATCGACAAGTTTTCACGTGGTGAGATTCTAAATGTATTTGTTTTGATATTAATTGTAAGATGATATTATGCAGAAAAATTTGTCAAAAGTCGTTTCATGACAGAAATACAATGCTTTAGCTGTAAATACAAAACATTTCCATAAAATCGATATAAACGTTCTATTCTATTTGATTGGAACAGAAGTTTGTAGCACTACGGATTTCAAAATTCAAGCAGCTAATTTTGTTAAAAATAAACAAATTTAAATTTGAAAAAAGAGTTTTGAAGTTTAAAATCTCTACTTTCGAAAAGTCATGATGTCTTTTGAGTTTCTATGAATTTGATAATTTTTATATGTGTATTGTAGGAAAGTACGAGTCGAACAAAATGGAAAATTTTCTTCTTACTTTATGGGCCACATGCCTAAAAAAACTTATCGCAATTTTCGACTTTCTAACGTGAAAGCTTAAAGTTTTGCCTAAAAAAATCATTTTTTTTTAATATTTCTAAAATTTTTTGTTACTGAGATTGCGTATTAAATAACAGGAGCATTTAAATTTTTTTAAATCGTTCATAACTCCATTAAATGTTATTGTAATTTAAGAAACAGGTTTTTTAAAGCTAAAATTTATCGAATGATATAATTGCCAAATTTTTTAAAAAATATGTAAATATGATACAAATGAAGTAGCGCTACGAAGTTTCTAACCTAATAAAAAATAAATTAAAAAGTTTTATTAAAAAATTATATTTATTTTGATAATAATTTTAATAATTATATAAATAATAATTTAAATTTTTATTAGTTTTCCTTTAGCTCGTATTATCATTTTTTCTAAGAAAATGCAATAAATTGAGATTGCTTTATACTTGCAGCGAAGGCTGTATTTGAAGTATAAACAATTGAGACAGAGAATTGCTATCACAATTTAATTAATTCTCTCTATTAAATCATAACTGAACTCTTGTTGCATAATTGAATCACCACTTTCATTATTATTCATCTTGCTGTCATTTTAATTATTAAATCGAACAACATGAAATTAAACGGTAAATCAGATATAATAGCTTCTTGCTTTGCGGGAGAATTTCTGCCTTCGTTTTGGTAAAATAACGCGATATTTAACGCGATGTGCCCTTTAGCACTTTGCATACATGCCCTTTAGCTGCGAAAGGCGAAAGAGGTAGTAAAGTCGGGCTTACGCAACCCCATCCTTTACTCTACTAAATACACAGTGCCCTGGGGTTGCGTAGCCCACACAATGAACATGATACGCGTACCGGAAGTAGGACATACACTCACCTACGACCTTTCAGACTAATTACTTGCTCAAGCTATTGAAGCGTCCAGAGGCGTCTCGTTCTTGTTAATTTCCCGAAATAGAGTGTATCGAGTTCGTTTGTTTGTCTTCGCAGTTAGTCAGGTTGTAAGACAGGTGTGATACAACAATCGATTCTCGATAAGCGTAAACGTACTGTTGTGCACTCGCCTCAGGCCTGCAATGATGGGTGCGCGAATCAATGCGAAATCGATGTTCAAATTAGAATTTAAATTTATACTACTCTGATATATAATCTCCCCAAATATATTATATTATAAGTAATATTTAAAAATGATAAAAAATTGAAATCTTTTTAATATAACTTTAATGGCATGTAATTAAAATCTAAATTTACACGAAAATCTCGTTAATGTTTCTGTCTCCGGATAAATAGAAATTGTCAATATTCGGAGCTGAATTTAAATTTATTATATAAATATGAAGAATGAGTAACTTAAATAAAATCAGATTTATTTCTGAAAAAACGCACGTGTACGCAACGATTTTCATTAAAAAATCCAATTTTTAAATAGTCCCAGATAAAAACAATCTTCTTCAATCGATTGAATGAAATATTTCAAAACAAATTTATTTCTCCGAATTTAAATTAAAAAGTGAATAATGCTTGTAGGAAGGTAAACAATCGTGCTAAAATTAACTCGAAAGGGAATGTCAAATTATAATTCGAATTCATACTAAATAATAAAATAATAAAATAATCTTTACAAAAGTATCATCATTAATATTTAAAAAAATTGAAAATTAAAATTTTTTTAATGTAACTTAAAACAATACGATACGAATCCTTTTTAATGTAATTTTAATGGGATGTACAATTAAAACATAATTTATATTAAAATCTCATTTATTATTTTCGCCAGTTGAATAAAAATCAATGTTATGGAATAAATTTATACAATTATGACGGATGAATGTAAATACAATAAGATTTATTTCTGAAAATATACAATGAGGATTTAGATATATATGTATACTATAATAAATATGTACAAAATTGATAATGAATAAACTTTAACATCATGGCGTTCTAAGATCTCGCAGAATACTAGCTCTCGTTCTTAATCTCCAGCGCTCGTAAATAACGACGAGCATCGCGAAATAACGACAAAGTGACTCCGCGAATTTCTCAGGCAGCTGAGCAAACAATAAGTTGCCCTCAATCGATCGAAATCTTAAACTTCAGCCGCAGCTGTCGAACGTCAGAAATCCGTATCGACCTGATACCATGATACGCTCCTGCATCCCGAGCGGACTATCGCGCGTGAACGTCAACGTCGTCATCGACATCGAGGCGTGGTGACGCGACGTCGGCCGACGATCTCAGTTCGCCGGCAACGAGCGTCGCGACAGCTCGCGCCGTAACGCGGGAGGAAGTTTGGCCGGAAGAAGAGGTTGCTCCCCCGAGAAGAAGAGGGTGGGGTACTAAGGGGTACGAAGAGAAGACAAGCAAGAGGAACACGAAGGAGAGGACGAGAGACGAAGACGTGCAATTCCGCGACAAAGGGGGTGACCAGGGAGTACCACCGAAGGGGTGGGAGCGAAGAAAAAAGGGGGCGAGGACGAAGTAGACGGGGGTCAGCGGGTTAAAACACGTGGATGCTGTGGCCGGTGTTGGGGGGGGATGACGGGCTGAGCCCCACAGCGTCGCCCACGCCGGCGACGACCGGCGCCGTCTCCTCCGCGAAGGGGGTGAACAAACTGACCCCTCTGCTGCTCTGCGCCCCCTGCAAACCCGGTGGCCACCGGAAGAGCCAGAGCTCCACCCAGTGGTACGTGCAACAGGTAAAGAGACATTGGATGACCGGATGGCATCCTGCTGTTTTGGCCTTTCGTTCGTTCGTTCGTTCTGCTTCGTTTTTGTTGACGATCTCCTATGTTTGTTTGAAGCGGGAGAGTCTTATGGAGATTAGTAGATATGCGAAGAGATTATGGGATTATGATAACGATTAATTATTGAGTGCGATAAGATCGATTCTCTCGTTTCCATTCGTAATTTTATTTGATTTGTTTTTCTTTGATTTGCCAGCACTTTTGTCATTGAGCGAAGCTTGGTGTATGTTCACATGTATGTCCATATATTATACATATGTATTTCGCATGAAAGGTGTATCGTAATGCTCCCGTTGATAATACGTTGGTAAACATTCGAGTTCAGCTAGCTTAATCGCGAATTCCTCAACACCGAAAGTGGAGTTCTCAATGTAACATATGATAAATTATTCATCAATCGATTATTTTTACATCAGTCTTATCTACGTGGGAAAAAAAATATTGTATTTACAGCACTAGTTTAGTTAAAAATAATCTTGTTTAATAGGAGGACAAATAACATTTTATGAAGCAGTAGTTTAAAATAACAAAATAAATTTATATATGCATTTTTATCAAGTACATTTTTACCTAAATATATTTTTTTTATTAAAATTCATCCAGTAATAAAATTTTAGTTTAATGCTTTTTCTGTGAGATTTGATGACAAAAATACAAATTGTAGAAAGTTTGATGTTTAGTTGATAATCTTTTCCTTGAATAAGAAATTTTGGAGTTCAATCAGAGAATATGTTTATCTTTATATTCTTAATTCTCAATATAACGTATAATGAGTCGAGTGATTAGTTATTCATTAATCGATTCTTTCATACTGATTTATCTATATGGGGAAAAATGATGTTGTATTTTATATCTTTATCAAAATACATCCAGTAATAAATATTTAATTCAAGGTTTGTTTTGCGAGATTTCATTAAAGATGTGAATCGCTCAGAAAATTTAGTATTTAGTCAAATATTTTTCAAAAAGAAATTCGGAGTTCAATCAGAGAATGGACTTATCTTTACGATACACCCAATATGTTTTGCATGACCTGCTAAAAATATCGTTTTTGTCATGAGTGAATATTTTTAATTAGACCTTAAGATGCATGAAAAAAAATGAATGAAAATCTTTTCGTTACTTTCGTCGTCGATGTTTAGACTAGTGCATGCCAAACAGGATTTATAAGTGTGCAACAGATGCATTATTGTAACTATCTCAATCCCCACGCCTACCAAACTTTGGGAGCAATGAGTGACATTGATTCCCAAATTAAGTCGCGCATTGATCCTCGTGTGTGTGTTGCCGCACACGAATTGCCAGTTTAACTAAGTAATCAGAGTCAAAATGTCATCGGAACTGTATCACCTACTGAGTGGAAAAAAGCGATCCCTTGGCAGTTCAATCAGTAAAAATAAAAATTACATTAGTCTCAATCGGCTGAAGAAGTTTTCCCTTCAAAGATCACTTTTTGTCAAAAGAAAACGTCTTTTACGACTAGAACAGGAATAAATATTAATTTTTTTCGTTACTATTATTAACTGGATGTGTATATAATTTGTATATTATATATTTATTTAATTCATTAATTTGTTTAGTTAATTATCATTATATGTATTATATTATTCTATATCTCTATTACACATCATATAACTGTATTACACTCCAGGCCAAAAGTCTAGAAACGTTTAAAAAAAAAAATTGAATTTTTGGAATTATTTATTCAAATATCTATAACAATGTGTTTTTTTTTATAATAATCCTTTAAATCCAACAATGTTATTGTAGGATCTGAAGAATTAACGATGTGCGTGAATATTATATTATAT